TTGTCCCATACCAAGTGCTTTGTCCCCTCCTTTCCTTACCAGTCTTTCAGCTCTTTCTGTAGTCTGTCTTTCTGTACCTCGTCTCTAGACTGAAGTGAATAGGATTTGCACCCTTATAAGAGAGGCTAAAGGGTGCTTCTGTCCCTTCAGCTTCAACTTCCTAGCTTTCAAAAACCATAAATATGTTTCTATTATTCATAAACATCCAGTCTAGGGGATTTTGTCAGAGCAGCCTGAACGGACCCAGGTGCCTGACACGATCTCAAACCCGTACTTCCCACCCCACCCTGTCTCTGGCTATTCTGCTCCTTTACTTCTCTCTGCACAAAGCTTTATCATTTGTTTGTAAGCATGGTCACACTCAAGGCACCACCCACTTTCCCCTTCTCCAATCCCTGCCACACAGTCTACACAGCTAACACTTCAGTTATATCTGCTGCCTCAACTCCCTCATGAATCATTTTGTCACTCATTCTTTATCTTAGCTACTACAGCTATCCGTCTAGCATCTAGAACAAAGCTTGGCACTAAGATGGTTCAATAAAGATGGACTGATGAAATKAACCAACCTTTTACAATGCGACTGCCATCACCATTATTCTATTGAGAAGACTTGTTGACCTTAAAACCTCCAAATCCAATTTTCTCATGTCTACATTCAACTGTTGTCCTCTTAGTTGACATATTTCCTTTAATGGCTTTTTTATGACATTCCCCTTGCATCTCTTTCTTCCTTCTGCTGCTTGCTAAATGAGGATTATCACTCTACTATTCAAGCTCTGCACTTGGTCATCTGCTCCTCTGTCCTCTCTCTACATTTAATACAAATTCTTTTCTCCAACCATGGTGTCTCTACCCCAGGCTCTACCTGTCTCTTTGATCCCGTCTCCTGCCTGAGTTCTTGCCCCATCTCTCCAATTGCCTTCCAATTACCCCACCCAGACACCTGGCGGGACTGCTGGCTGAAAGCTTCTGCCTCTGGAGCCAGCACCCTCCTCCTCCTGGGWGGCAAGGAGCCAAGTCTAGTGTCATCTCCCTGAAATCTGCGTCAGCCACTCTATTCCCACTTCCTGGCCTTCTCCCCCATTCCTTCTGGCTGGGATTACATTGCCCCCCTGACAGATCAGCCTTCCCAAAACCCTGCTGTCTTTCCCTTGCTCATAAAACAAAAATTCAAAGACAACAAAGTCTAAACCTCTTGGCCAGTGCTGCTGTCTGAATGTGCCTTCCAAAACAAAACCAAATTCCCACTGCTGTGGTAATAAAAGGCGAGGCCTTTGGGGAACAGATTAAATCATAGGAAATGGATAGAATTAGCATCCTTATAAAGGAGGCTGAAGGGTGCTACCTCCCTACTCTGTCCCTCCAGTCCTGTGAGGCACTGAACCTGCACTTCTTGATTTTGGACTTCCTAGTCTCCAAAAAAACATGAGAAATAAATTTCTATTATTTACAAACTACCAAGACTAGGGGATTTTCTTAAGGCAGTCTGAATGGACCAAGATGCCAGACACTCAAGACCTCACACATCTGTCCTACAGCACATGTAATCTTACTTCCTGTTGTTGCTCTTCTTCTAACCTATGCCAGAGTTAAACTATACTCTATTTCTCAAAGTAATTTATTACTCTTTTTTTAGAGAAATCATACTATAATTGCCAGTAGCTGAAGAAACTAGGGGATAATACAAATAGCAAAGAATCTTATGTTATCTGACTCTGGGAACTCACTAAGCAATGCATAGCAACAAAAATGGGTAGTCCTGAGGCTCAGCCACCTACTGAACCACTGCTTATTGAGACTCTACCACAAGCCAGGTGTGGTTCTAGGCACCTGAAGGACAGTGGCAGATAAGACACACAAAGTTGCTTCACATGGGTCCCTTATATTCTAGTGGGATGAAACAACTACTCAGGAAATAAAATTGAAGAATTTCAGATTCTGATACATGCTAAGACAGAAACAGCCCAACAAAATAGAACGCGGCTGTGGAGTGGAGTATCGTGGGGAAGATACTATGCAAAGCCTCTCCTGGGAGGTGAGACTCAAGCTCAGACTGAGGGTGAAGAGGAGTCAGTTTTTAGAAAGGCCAGGTTAGCAGCCAGAGGAAGCCTCTAGGATGGCACAGCCACAGGACATCTGCTACCTGAGGATGAGCAGGACGCATCTGACAGGCAAGATAGGCAAGGCAGAGGGTGTGCATGGCCTGGTGACAGTTTACAGGAGGAAGTCTCTAAGGAGTTTCAAGTAGGGCTGACATGCTGAACAGAAAACCTGCAGGGGGTGTGAGGTGAGAGTTCTCAAACAGTACCTCTTCTAGATGAAAATCGCTGATCATGCGGGTCTTCTAATGTAGTAAATTCACTCTTTWAAAAAAAATGTATTGCCTTAATTCATGGTGTAAGCAACTGCTCTGTGTTCAGCAGAAACATGTGAATATAGCTACAGCCCTGGCATGAAGGCTGCCGTTGTTCAAGTGGCTCTTTCACTCAAAGATACCCTAATATTGACAGAAGGCTTAGTGTGCATAAGACATTGTGCAGGAACCACGAATGAGACAGGACCCTGCTGTCATGGCCTTGAAACAGACGAARAAATAATGACACCTTTGAGGAACATCACTACAACTAAAAGGACAGGGTGCTGTGGGGTCTGCAGCATGATGCCTCCTCTCAGACAGAAGCACAGGCAGAGTGGCCAGGTGGTGAGTGGGGAGCAGTGTGCCTACAGAGGGAACAGCAAGGTGCAAGTGGAGGAAAGTGAGCTCCGGCACGACTGAGGAGCACAGGATGAGGGCCAGCTTGTGGAGGTCAGTTAGATCCCAAGAGACTCTGACGTGGCTGCCAAGGGAAGAGTGGCCCAGGAGGGAAGGTGAGAGGGAGGGGCTGGGACAGAGTGGTGGCTGGCGGAGAAACAAGGTATAGACACTGAGTTATCTAGGAGGTAAAATGCAAAGGTGAGTCAGGATGACCTGGCCTGCAGCTGGAGCTGCACATGATGGGGCGTGACCCAGAAGGAAGAGGAGCTGTCTGTGTGGGGGAATGCCCCGAGGGCTGGACATGATGGTAGTGAGTGCTGGACTGTCAACAGGTGTGTGAGTGAGCAACGGGGTCTATACGGGCCGCTTTCTAGGATCCACCCTTTATAAAGACAGTACCTAAGGTGCTGGGGAGGTGGCTCACTGGAAGAGTGCTCGTCTGGCACGTGTGAGGCACTGGGTTTGATCCTCAGCACCATATAAAAATAAATAAAATAAAGGTACTGTGTCCACCTATGACTACAAAAATAGTAAAAAAAAAAAAAAAAAAAAAAAAAAAAAAAAAAAAAAAAAAAAAAAAAAAAAAAAAAAAAGAAAGAAAAGAAAAGAAAAGAAAAGAAAAAAGACAATACTTAAAGCTGTAGGAGTGACTGGAATGGCCTGAGGATGGGTGGGATAAGAGGAGGGACCAGCAGAGCTGGAAAAATATCCACCAAGAACAAGTCTTAGTAAGACTCCTTTTCTCCATGCTACCATAACACCTGGAAATAGTTCTTCAAAATCTAACTTTGTTGTAATTATTTGTCTGCCTTCTTTAACTGGCTTCCAAGCTTAGAAGGAAGGGATGTATCTTCCTTATCTACTCCTAAATAGCAGTCCTGAGAGCTCAGTGCCAGTCACACAGTAGCCCCTCAAAGAGTTTGCAGGATGCTTGAACAAACAAGAGGACGGTATGCTTACTTGCCCAAGAAGATGTTATCAAAGATATACTTAAATATCACAACTCAACAACAACAACAAAATAACTTGATTTAAAAATGGGCAAAAGATCTAGGCACAGTGGTGCATGCCCTATAATCCCAGCAGCTTGGGAGGCTGAGGCAGGAGGACCACAAGTTCAAAGTCAGCCTCAGCAACTCTGTGAGACCCTAAGCAACTCAGAAAAATCCTAGCTCTAAAAAATACAAAAAAGGGCTGTGGATGTGGCAGTGGTTAAATGCCCCAAGTTCAATCTCTAGTACCAAAAAAAAAAAAGGTAAAGGACTTAATCAGACGTTTCTCTAAAGACATACAAATGCCCAGTGAGTATGTGAAAAAGACATTCAACATCACTAGTCACCAGAGAAACACAAAACAAAACCACAGTGAGATGTCACCTCACACTTGATGGGATGGCTACCATCAAAGACCCCAGAAAATGAATGTGCTATATTCATGGAGTTGAGTATTACTCAGCCTTAAAAAGGAAGGAACTCTGATATATGCCACTGTACAGAGGAACCTTGAGGACACCATATGAAGCAGAATAAGCCACAAAAGGTACGTCATGCACGAGTCCACTTAAGACAAAAGCGTAGGCCACACTCAGACACAGACAGAAACAGCAGTTGCCATGCGCTGGGGGAAAGTCCGCCTCCACCTGCCAGGACGTGCCCCTTTCTGCAGCAGGAGGGCACGGCACTGCTGGGGACTCCAGGGGAGAAGGCCCAGGACAATGACCCTTGCTTTGTAGTGCTGAAACAGAGGCTCTCCCCACATTCTCTCTTTGCTTCAGCAGAGCAGTTTAAGCCAAAGCCCCGGTGCCTAGATCAACTTGAGGGCTGACTCCGTCTCTGATTATTTCCCATGTATGTGAGAGGTGTACGTGCTATCAGACTTCTATGTATTTCTCCTGTTATTTCTGTCTTTTGTTAGAAAGTCCCAACTAAGAAGTCCTAAAAATGATTTTTACTCTAAGTGAATAAATGAAGATTCGGCCTTCACGCCAGAGTGCTGTTCAGCACTAGCTCCCTCTGATTATTTACTACTCATTCATTTGACTGGGTAATACAATAAGGCATTCTGGTTAAGAGGCAAAAACTGTTCTCTCCCCTATTAATCCTAGTTTATACAACAAATTCAATTAAAGTAAAAAATGACTGAAATACAATTTGTCAAAGATAACTGAAGTGAGTATAATAAACTCATGAATGTTTACCAGACTGGGTGTACGGACACAGTGACTTTTCTTTAATATCATTACCTGAACAAGCGTGTCCAGGGTGAAGATGTGCTCCCCTCGAACATTGTAGAACTTGACCATGGCACTCTTCAGAAGGGGACCATTGGGGAGCTCGCTGAGTTGGGTCTGCCGCTCCATCCCAGCAACTGCCAGCAAGTCTCCCTGTGTGCACCACTGAGCTACCACCTCTGAAACCATACAGAAGAGACACTCAGCATGAGGATGCAACCCTCCTCAACTGCCAGTCAGCCATACTGGCATGCGTCTTCAGTAGTTTAAAACATAGAGATGCTAACCAAATATACAAGCAGACCTCCCCTTTCACGAAGATAACAACCCATTTCTTTTATTATAATTAATTTATTTTAACTAGGTATATATGACAGCGGAATGCATTTTGATTCATTGCACACAATYGCAGCACTTTTCATTTCTCTGGTTATACACAATGTAGCATCGCACCACATGCGCAGTCACACATGTACTTAGGATAATGATGTCCGTCTCATTCCACCATCTTTCCTGCCCCCATGCCCCCTCCCCAACAATCCTCTCTTTTAAGACTTATTATAAACAAGCTGTTACATGGTTGGAGATTACAGTTTCTCTAAAACATATCTAGATCAGGTAGAAATCCAGATATAAGAAGGTTGGCATGTTAAAGGTGGGTGTGGTGGAGCAGCTGCTTGGAAGCCTGAGACAGGAAGATCACAAATTTGGAGGCTAGGCTGAGGAACTTAGTGAGACCTTATTGAGGGAGAGAGAGGGGGTGGGGAGGAGGAGGAGGAGGAGGAGGAGGAGAAAATGATGATGATGATGATGGTGACGAGGAGGAGGAGGAGAAGAGGAGGAAGAGGAAGGAAGAGGTAGGAGAAGTAGTAGTAGTAGTAGTAGTAGTAGCAGTAAGAAGAGAAGGAAACAAAGGAGAGGGAGGGAGAAGAATAAGAAAAAGAAGAACTGTTTAACTATCTCTAAGCATTTCCATAATCTATCTACACCAGCATTTCCACACTGAGACTGTGTAACATTTCTGCTAAGCAAGTTAAGTGATAAAACCTGTGACCCTATACATGTCACATCAGTGCTTCCCACTGCTGTGCCCTCCACTCCCAGAGAAGACGCCGAGTTTGTACATGCTCAAAGTAAAAAGTTAAGTCAAGGAAGCCCATGTTTACTCATTTGATACCTGGGTAACACTAGGCAAGTAAATCTCTGATGAAGGATATACACACATACAAGGGTACTGACTTCTATTTAACACTTTTTTTTTTCAATGCTGTCAGACTTAGAAAAGAAGATAAGCAGTCTTGCTGGGRGGCAGGTAGTACTGTCAGAGAAATTTTCACACTAGAGATGCCAACACCCATCTACAAGCCATCATTTATCTAACAAGTAGCTGTTAAATGGTTTGTCTTATCCCAGTGTGAGCAATTACCTAGTTCTTGCTGGTGAATAGATCTATAAGTACCAACAAGATTTATAGCATTTTTTTCTCTCTTAAAACCACAGAACCATAATTTGGCTTATACTAAGAGCTCTGAAATCTATATTTAAGTAGCCCATTTTGCAGAGAAGCTGAACTGAATTAAAAGAAGGTGCCCTGGCGGGATAGGCACGTATTTCAGTGCCGGGGCTATAGTACAGCAGCTTCTAAGCTCCTTCTAGTCACATATGACCATAAAATCCCTCTAGTTCACCCTTGGAAAGAGTTTTGGTGCTAATTCCAGTGCATGCTGAAGTCACTGATGCTCTTGTACAATGGCCTTGAAAGTGAGCACACTCCATGAAGCAAGGCACCTTATCAGGTTTGCTGTAGCAGAAACCAGGAGACAGAGAGCTGAGCTGCAGCAGCTATAGACAAACACAAATCAATCCCAAATAGTGACAATACCAATAAAGGATTTTTTGTATGAATAAAGTTAGACACAAACCAGAAAACAAAAAATAAAAAGAATCAAGTAAATATCCTGGTAAATAAAAATTTTAAGATGTCAGAAAATGGAGGTTAGAGGATTTGTCCCTCTTCTAAAATGTGCTCTGAATATTCACTGCCAGGTTTAGGTCTAGAGAAAATCCTGGTAGGGATCATGAATGAAATAATCTTCAGTGAATGGCAGTGTTAAGTAGGTACCCAAGAACACCAAAAGGAGAAGCAGCTAATAGTCAAAGTGCTAACAAGACAGAGTCTATGGACTTCTGGGCAGAAACATCCCTGTAATATGGTAGGTAATAAAGACGCCAGCACTGTGGTTACAGTGGCACATGCCAGTAATCCCAGTGGCCTAGGAGGCTGAAGGAGGATTGCAAGTTCAAAGCCAGCCTCAGCAACTTAACGAGGCCCTAAGCAACTTAGCAAGACCCTGTCTCAAAATAAAAAATAAAAAGGGGTCATTTTCTGCCCCCCAAATGAGCCTTGCCAGGTGCTTCACTGATTGACTCCTCTGCTGAATACCAAATAAAGAAAAGCCTGCTGGAAAAAAAAATAATAATAATAAAAGAGTGGGCTGGGGATGTTGCTCAGTGGTTAAACCCTTGGATTCCATCCCCAGTTCCCATCCCCCACAAAAAAACACAGATGGTAACATTAAATTCCATGGCTCCTCATCTGACCTGTATTGATTAGTAGATGAGTGAAAACTGTACCATTCTTTTATTTTTTAAAAAGATTCTTTGAATTTTGTCACAAAATGGTTTTGAAAGTAAGAAGCAGGCTGCTTGCTGCCCTTATAGTGCTGGCCTGGACACAGATGCCTTCAGAGACTGCTCACAGCAGAGGCCAGCACACACGGAGCTTTTCTGTTGGAGGTGAGAATGAGTCCAAATATGTCTGAGCACACACTCAGGGATTTCTTGAATTCAGTTGCAAAGTCACACTGACAGTTGTCATCTGCAAAGCAAGTCACTCTTTTGCAAAGAAGAAACTCCATATGAAAACTGCCACTTCATGTTCTGGCAGTTACAGGATGTGCAGCATCAAGGGATGCAGATGTGGGCTCCTCTGATGCTCAGCAGACCAGTCCTGGTCCACAGGGTGGGCACACCAGCTGCCAGAGGAATGGGCTATTTCATAAATCTTTGACACCAAGAATTCAGAATTAAGAAGGAATATTCTGGAATTGTCCAGAGTCAGTCAGGAGTACCGAGTCCTCAGCAGGCGCTGAGTTTCTGGGTTTGGAGTTTAAAATTGTCATAAAAACAACAAATTGAAAGTAAAACTGAAAGTAAAAGCAAATGTTCATTCAATTCCCAGATATCACTATGATGAAGAATACAGAAGCCCAGATGATTGGGACAGAATTTTTCTGTTTCAGAAATGTTCTGTAAACCATGTCTATCATATTTTAAAAAACAATCTCCAATATCCTTGCCCAAGGTTTCTGTAATAACTTATATTCTTTAAATCCCTAAGATTGTATTTAAAATAAAACTTAGGAGGAACAAATGAATATTATATTCAGTAGCCTTCTTTTGGCTTTCCCTGAAACTCCTGGCCAAGAGTTTCTAATGTTCCCCATTCAGAGAACTGGAAGTTCAGAAGCATCCAGGTGATCCATCTTCCAAACACACTTATTTTCTCAATGATTTGGGGCTAAGACATGGGGGGCATTTTGGCCTCTTAAGTGTTTGCAAAGAAAATCAGTAGACTGGTCTGGGTTTGTGGCTCAGTGGTAGAGCATTTGCCTAGCATGTGTGAGGCACTGGGTTCAAGTGTCAGCACCCGCATATTACTAGATGAGTAAAATAAAGGTCTATCAACAACTAAAATTTAAAAAAAGAAAGAAAATCAGGGCTGGGGTTATAGCTCACTCAGTTGGTAGAGCGTTTGCCTTGCATGTGTGAGGCACTGGGTTCRATCCTTAGCACCATATAAAAACAAATAAATCAAATAAAGGCATTGTGTTCACCTACAACTAAAAAAATATGAAAAGAAAAAGAAAACTAGCAGATTTACACTGTTCAACTTAAACCAGACAATCTTATGGATCTTTCTTGGTAAAAGCTGGGGGTCAAATTTTCATCTAAAGTTAGCAGTGAGAATTGGTTCTTCATGTTAACAAGAAACCTCTTTTGTGGGATTAGTGCTGGGTTCAAAGGAGGCAGCTAGGTTTTAGCAGGAAAAGAGTGGTCTCTTAACAAACACCACATACACTGCAGCTGCCTGGTGGCTGCCTGAGGTTAACCCAGCCCTCTGTCCCTTAGGTTTCCATAGTAACGAATCACCTTTCTGTTAGTTGACTCTTGTTTGTGGGCACATGCATGTGCACGTGGTGYGAGAGTGAGAGGAAGGAGACAACAGCAGGTGATTCTTCTTTAGAAAGGCCGTTTTCAGTGAGTGTAGTAAGGACTGGAAAAAAAGGGTCCATATCCACTGAGGACCAATCCGCAACCAGGGGCCCCAGCATCACTGACCCCTGTCCATTCCCTCAGAATGAGTGACGAAATGCTGAGAGGAAGAAATTCTGCAAAACAGAGCCTGGGGTGGAGGCCTTTTATTTCATGGCACACAGGGATGAAAGAAGTGCTTTGAAAGCTGCTTTCRGTACTGAGGTACCCAGCTCCTCGGGGAATACCTGAACTCATGACTGAATCACTCTTCCTCAAGAAAAAGTAAAAGTCATAGAGGGTAAAGTCCGAGGGAATGAACCAACTCAGTGCTTACTGTGTCCCTAGCTGGGTTCCTCTCCTGGTGGAACTTCCTGGGCAGCAGCTACAAAGCAACATCAGACCCTACTTCCTCCCCAACCCCAGAAATCTGCAGCGAAAACCAAGGGTGGCAGGTGGTGCGGAAAAGGGCTGGTCACAGGGACAAGGGATGACCTGGAATCCTAATTCTTCTGCACATGACATAAATTACAGCACTGGTGGTAAGTCAAAGAAAAGGCATGTGAGTCACCTTTTTCCTCTTGAAAAGTTGTCTAAGTTAGTTACAGAGAAAGACCCAGGGGATCAGAGACCTTAGGGATAGGTGACAGACCTGTCTGTGATAGGGTAGATGACTGTGGCCAACTGCTCTTTTCTTCCCAGTACTAATAGTGGACAAAATATAAATTTAAAAAATAAAAAATACTGCTGTTCAGGCTACATGTAAGATCAAGTCTAAAATATTCTGATACCACAACAGAAAAGAGAAATCATCTCCATGAGGTACCTCCTGGATGGCACCAGTTCACTTCAATTTCATTCATCTTTCTGAAATTAAGAAGACATAGTACAACGGCATCTCCCCTCCAGGAAGGTGTAAATAATTGAAAACATTTTAGACTACATTAAGATTTCTAGTTAGGCAATGACTACAATGCTGAATTTGTCTGAGTTTTTAGAACATGACTCGGGTAAAAAATCTTCACCTTAGTGAGGGCCTCTTTAAATCACTTCCTCAAATCACCAACTCCTCCTCTTACTCAGCACCATTGATGGGGCTGTGTCAGAAATGCTGCTACAGCACAACATGACTTGATAGGTATAATATAAGTCAACAGACTTAAGGAGCCAAAAAAATAGTTTCCACAAGCAAGATGGTAAAAAAGACTTTAAAAAATTCATCTTGTGAAGAAGAAAGAGGAACTGAGTGGTAATTATATTATTTTCAGTCATGACCAGATATTTCATAGAGAGCAAATTCAGAATTCCAACAGTAGTGGCAGATTTTTAAGAAAAGAATAACTTGGTTAAGAAGTTTGAAAATGTAATTTGTGAAGAAAAATGGAGATTAGATTACTAACTATATGGGGGAGCTTATGATGACCAAACATATTATTTAGATCCATGAAAGACAGAACATTCAAAAAACAATTTACAGAAAAGCAAAGGAATTTAAGTTCATCATCAGCATGAAAATATTTACTTAGCTCATAATGAGGCCTATCTGTGTGGTATAAAGGAGGCTTCTCCATACTTCATGTTGCACAGGACTTTATAGGCTAAATAATTCCTTATAAATCTAGTTCTGAAATAGCAGAAGGGGATACCTAAGAAGGAGTATAATCTGCTTCTAAAAATATTCTATATTTTTGAAATAGAATTAAGTAAGACTTGGGGGTATTAGAGATGTATGATATATTTTGGTCAACCATCAGTGACATATATACACCTGATTCCTGAAGAATCCACACAAGCAGCAGCAGTAGCACAGGACAGTAACTCTCTAGACTGACATCCAATTTTGAATTTTGGCAGTTAATTAGGTTGTAGTCAAGTTCCTGGCTGGCTTCTCACCTCCCTATTCAGGTTACAGTAGGTCCTTTGAAAATATCAGACAGAGGCAATCCAGGAATTTCTTTCTTTCTTTCTTTCTTTTTTTTTTTTTTTTTGGTGGGGGAGGGTACTGGGGATTGAACTCAGGGGCATTCAGCAACTGAGCCACTTCTCCAGCCCTATTTTGTATTTTATTTAGAGACAGGGTCTCACTGAGTTGCTTAGGGTCTTGCTGTTGCTGAGGCTGGCTTTGAACTCAAAATCCTCCTGCTTCAGCCTCCCACAAGTATGCATCACCACGCCCAGCCAGGAATTGAATTTTTAGATCTTTCTATACTGCACCATTCAATCCTCAAGAAACAGACTGTTTTTCCAAAGAACTCACCAGGGCCACAACATCAGTTAATATTCTTGAATTGAAAAATTTAGAGCACTTCCAATGCCTATGGCCATTGATTTTCTATGCAGAAGGCAGCAGTGCTCCCCTTCACATCCATGCCTCCATCTGGCCGCTGCAGAACCTCCACAAGTCTTTCAAGGTAGCATTACTGCACAATGATTGGTACCTTAATAAGCCTGTCAAATTCTTAAAATTCAGAGCTTCTGTGTAAATGATGACTGTACACCATCTGCTGCCTCAGGAATGGCAGGTGCTAGTATCCRTTTACTGTGCAGACAGTGTGAACCAGATGCAAACACACATACACCTGGGAGGGTCATTCTTGTCAGAGTGAGGAAAAGGAGTAGGGTAGGACAAAGACTGATGGGAATCCCTCTTCAAGATAAGACCAGCTATGGAGTTGTCAGGTAAGCAGAGGAGCTAGGGGAGTGACCTGTGAACAGACTCCATTAAGCCCAGAAGAAGTCACTGCAGAGGACAGGAATCAATAAGTACCAGGTGTGTGACACCAGCCCAGAAGGCACTCGTGCACAGGGCTGCGGGGATGGGGCATGGCAGCGTTTTGTACCTTTCAGTCCTGAGCGGATGACAGTGGGAGACAAGTCATCATAGTTGTTCATTAAGCTGATGTCTCCCGAAGTGAAGCTGACGGTGAGCAGAGGCTTGATGTTCTGCACTGGGATGGGGTACGCTGCAGGACCATCTGTGGAAACACAAGTGCCAAGTGAGAAGCAGGCAACAAGGCTGTGCTATTGCGTGGTGCCCTAAAAACTGCCCAGTGATGCAGCTCTCACTCTGGACTGGGATGTCACCAAATGAGGCAGTCAGTGCACCACTCAGGAGCCACACAAGTCATCAGTAGAGCACTAGCAGAAGACCTCAGAATGAGGAGAAGGACATGGAATATGCAACCCAAGGCAACTGCAGGGTGGTGAAAATATGTGTGAAGTTTATTAACTTGTATATTAATGTGTCATGCAAATTAATAAATGCAAATTATTTTAATGCTATACAACATACAAGAATAGTGGGAAGAAGGATAAAAACATTTTCTTAATTTGGGTCCAAAGCATCAAAAAAAGCTCTTTTCAATACTAAATGCTCTTTCATTGAATGTTAAAGGCAATAAGCAACCACAGTAGTCACAATCAGTTCTTTCCCACTTAAGTTTTTCCCATAAAAGACTGAAAATCTGGAAAGAAGGCTGAAGTTGGATGTGCTATATACGCAACACCTGGCCACCATAAAGAAAATTCTGCTTTGCACATTCCAGGAGTGCTTGTATGTGAGGGGCTATGGACGGGGTCTTCTGCTTGTTATTTGAGAAAGTGAAAGTCCCTCTACATACCTGGATGAGGCAGGGCTCTTTCAGAAAGTGTCATGGCCACATGAGCTCAACTCCAGCAGCCATCCAGGGTGGCCTGCCTGATATCCACCTGGCTTCATGTCTTCATGCTAAGACACTGCACTATACCTACCTCTGCACTCTAATTCTCTAAGCCACCAAGAATATTGTTACATCTGAAATGCAAATACCTGTCATCTCCTAAAGTGCTCCCTGCTTCTGAGAAGTGTAACTGGCTAGAGGAGCATCATGGACTGACTAATGTCTTGGGCTGACTCTGGACTTGCTTTGTAAATCTGGTCTCTGGATCCCATTTCTTCCAGTAATAACATGGTTTGAGTGAATCTAAATTCACCCTACTAGAAAGGAGTTCTGAGCTGAGTCCATATTTTGACTTTCTTGCTCAGAGACTGTAGAAATATGACCAATGATTCACCCGAGGCCGTTTTCTATTTGGAAAAGGAAAGTCACCATCCAAGTGGATGTATAGGTGCTAGGAACTCTCTCCCTCTCAAGACCCAGTGATCTGGAAACCCTACAGCCAATCTTAATGCTTTTCACGTGGGAAACCACACCTTCACACAATGTGCATGTTGCTGGGAAGCATACCATATTATTTCTGTCTCTGTGACAAGAGGGAGAAGTACCAGTGGAGACAGAGGCTGATGGGGGTGACTTCCAATTTTTTCTGGACCAGTTCCTCCTAGGATGACAGGCCCCAAGTGGCAGGAGAGGTCAGAAACTGTCCAGGACAGCAGCCTGCAACAGTGTGACCATTTCTAATTAAGGGGCCAATCCCTTCCACTGTGTCATAATATATTTTTCTTAAAAAAAAAAAAAAAATTGGTGGGTGCAGAGTATGGGACTCTGGTAAAGGATATAGGCCAGTGCTGCATACTGACTCTGGTGAAGGGCAGAACCACACCAGAGGGTTCCTTCTACTTTTTTTGGTCTTCTAAGGGGAGGAGAGATGAAACACTGCTTGAGCACAAGAGGCTGGAGTCGCCTAAAGCAATTTCCACCAAGAGTGTCTGGTATCACAGTGAGGTCATGGAGGGGTGGAGGGGTCATGTGACCTGAGAAGGGGTCTAGCTTCTGCCTGAATCAGGAGAAAACACAGGCATGAAGTATGGCCCAGACCCTGGCCTTCACTGTGGCAAAACTGATTCTCTTCTCATGCAGTAAAGCTACAGGCTTCAGAACCCTGAACTTAACTACTTAACTGCACAGAACTCTTCATCTTAAAGCTCTTTATTCCTGCTCAGCAGCTAAACCCCACAGCACCCCAGGGACACAGGAAGAGCCATCTTTATTCTTTACATCTAAGAAAACCTAATCCCATGGGGGCATAATCAACTTCACCCTGATCCTGAGAAAAGGGACAGTAGAGAGGAAGCAGTCACACCAAGAGGGGAGATCAGGCCAGCTGTGCCTTGCATTTTCGTTCAAGAACCCTTCCCAGTAAGTTAAGAGAGCCGCGATGGCAAACCTTCACCCTTTCTTTTCCAAATCAATTCTTTCTCCTTATGGTGCTCCGGTCTGTTAAATGAGTAAGAAAGAGAGGGCCAGCGAGCGGGCTACCTTGGGGAGGGGAGTAGTCGTCTGAGTCGGTATCACTCTCGCTGCTGTCTTCCACCAGGAAGATGGGGTAGTTCCAGGACATGCTGAGGATGCCATCAGACTCATGCAGGAGGACGTGGGCCAGCATCCTGCCGTGGCAGTCCATGACAATTACCTGCCCGTCGGCCGTGCCAAACAGCACCTGCAACCAAGGACCAGAAGCCTCAACTGAGTAGGACAAAGTGCTGTGGTTTCTGGCAAACCTTGTTTGTATCAACTGGTTTTAGGACAAAATATATTTAGACTAAAAAAAAAAAAAAAAAAAAAAACAGTGAAGTAACTGAGAGTGACACATAAAATATTAAATAGCAAACACTCAGCTGGCCATTATTGCAAGAATTCTAGACCTCTAATATTGAAAAATGAACTAACAGCAAAATGAACACCTTAGGTTGTATGGACATTTCCAAATGACACCAGCAAAATTTATTTCTCTTTTGTGTTTTTTCATTGAAGAAGGGTTAAGAAAAGACAATATTAATTTACTTTTCTGGAAAATAAAGATAAAGAAGAGATTTATTATAGTTCTCTTAACTTTAGAAGAAAATGTTTAAATTTGTTGGCCAAAGAGAAAATATATACCACACAAATCACTTATAGACTCAAATCATTTTATAGACTCAAACAACTTGGGAGAAGTCAAATAGGCTGATCACACCACAAAGTGATCAGGCCAGGCTGGCTGCCTGACTAGAAAGGCTAGAACTTACACCCAGAGAAAGTTACTCGAGGCCTCTTTGTCCTTGCTTCTCTTTGCTCTTGGGCTTCTGACATAACCTCCTTACAGCAGATGGCACAGCTGGATCTTGGCACCTGGCAGTTTGGGTGCCCAGTGGGCACTCATAACCATTTTTTTGTGCAATGAATGAATTACAGTCAGTGACAACGGAAAGCAATTCTGCTGATGACTAAGATAGACTAACTGCCAGGGAAAACATGGTGCACTTAAGCAGTATTAAGTTCATAGAATTACAGAGCTGTTTAGAGCTGTTTTAGAAGAAACCAATTATTTATCAAATATTCTATTAATCAATATCTATATTTTAATGAATGAACCCTAAAAGAAGGTTAAAATAATTTCTCCCAGAGGCAGTGATGAGTTCATTAGTGTATACTGCATAAAGGAAAAGCAGATGAAACTGCTGTGAAACACTGTGAAATTTATTTTAGAAAGAGCTGGAGTTCTAGCTGTCAATAGAATAATAAGTATTCAATGGCACGGCATATCTACAAAGCTCTCATCCAACACAGTCTCAGGGATGGAGACCTCAGGGCTCATAGACCTGCTGAATTCAGCTCTGGAAGGCAGATGTTTTTGTTTTTTTAACTTTTATTTTTATGTGGTGCTGAGGATCGAACCCAGGGCCTTGCACATGCGAGGTGAGAGCTCTACCGCTGAGCCATAACCCCAGCCCAGGGCAGATGTTTAATGTGCCTGTCCAGCAGTTTTCAACAACAATAATCAGAGAATGTGTTTTCTCAAAACTTTACCTGATATGTACAATTTACATGTTTTACAGGTGAAAGAGGTGTGGGAATCCCAATGTGCCACTAGTGCTATGGGCGATGTGCATGGAACAGGCTAGTCTACATCCTCATTTCTTCACTATGGGTGTGAGTGTGGGGGGTGGAACCCAGCCAGGGTCTCCACATGCTAGGCAAGCACCCTACCACTGGGTTACATCCCCAGGCCTATTCACTATTTTGAAAAGGTACCTATGAACCTTCAGAGCAAGTGAAAGGATTGTTTTATCATATAAGAATCTATTGATGAAAATAATTCATTAGCAGATGCCAGCAAACAATTATTCTTCAAAAGTAGTCAGGACTTATATTTACCAATTCCAACAACTTCCCAGAGCCCTCCCTGTTATGGGTCCTCCTAACACCCCGAGTCTTCCCTTTGGCACATTTGCCATTGTTCTCCTATCTTTACTTTATGGTATTTGGTTTCCTTCCGACTCCCATGCCAGACTATAAGCTTCTAAGAGCATGGACTGAATGTTGTGTACCTGCCGTCCACCAAATTTATATGTTGATGGTATTTGGAGGCAGGGCTTTGGGAAAATGATTAGATTTAGATGAGGCCTTGAGAGTGGGGCCTTTGTGATAAGAGATCTGAGCTTGCGTGGCTTCTCCCTCCACCATCAACCACTGAGGGAAGGCCAGGTGAGGACACAGAGAAAGGGCAACTATCTGTGAGCAGGAATGGAGCCCTCACCTGCAATGGCTGGCAAATTGATTTTCAACCTTCAAACCTCAGAACTGTGAGACCACCCTCAGTTGTTTCAGCCACCAGGTCTGTGGCATCTTGTTACAGCGGTCCAAGTTGAGACCTGAACCTTGTGAGCGTTGCTCATCAGTGTCTCCCGGAACCTCTCATTGTGCATGAAGTGCGGTAAAGTGTGTGTGAACCAAGGATGGGCATGTCTCTGTTCTGAGTAATGCTCAGATTTTTTTTTTCCATTTTAGAGAAAAAGGAACAGATACCAGATAGAAAAACAGACACATCATTCCTGAATTCAGCATCACACTAAAGCAAAACACAACAAAAAAACAGTCTCTAGATCCCCCACCATTAATCCATACCAACTACGGCTCCCATGGAAAGACAGTCTGTGATTAAAATGGGAGGAAAATGGAAAAAGAAGCACTAGTCTGGTTGTCAGCAGTGATGGAGGAAGCTACTCTGTTTTGGAACAAGTTCGTCACAGATAAGTGACAAACACTGGTAAAACATGAAATCAGATTTTAAAAAATCTCCGCTTCATTATAAGTTGTTTTCATGCCTAATAACCTCCAATGAGATAAAGCTTATGCAAGCAAAGAACTTCAAGAGAACCAGACAGAGAGTCTAAGAATAATGAATACAGACATGGCAAAGGCATCAATCTCTGCTGCTTCTGCTCCCTAATCCCGGGCAATGAGCCAGCTTGAGACAGGCTGGAGCTGGGGGTCCCTTACAAGGTACAACCCACCCTTCAGGTAATCCTTTCCTACGCCTCAGGGATGGTCCTAGGTCCTCCTCTCTCTTAAGAGAGCACAACCAGACCCACAGCACCACAGACTCCATTCACAGCTGACACCCTGCCAAGCTTTTCCCCAGTCCCAGACTTATACATAGAGCTGCCTTGGGGTCATTTTCCCCTGGATACGCCCAAGGCCCACTGAAGTCAACATATTCAAAATGAAGTGTGTTAGTATCTTTATCTCAAGCAAGCACACAACCAGCTCCCTTCCAGCTAAAAGTGTGGCTTGTGTTTCATCTCCAATGTCCCAGGTAATGTCTACTATCTACAAGTACTCGGAGAGCTCAGGTGAAGGGCTCTAGACACCCGTCACACAGAATTAATCTCCCGCGAACCACGGTTCCCCGACACTCTGAACTTGGCTCTGGTATTGTGTGCCTGTTTCCCTGTAAACCATAAGCTTTTTGATGGCAGGTCTGTACTCCTAGCTTGTCACATGCTGCTCTCCTGACTAGATGCTCAATGACTAAAATTGATTTCCTGCCCAACGTTTCTTACAAATGAAAACTTTTCCTTTCTTCTGAAAACTAGAAACCAATGTTCAAATCTTCCTATGAAACTGGTTCCTGAAACACTGTCGATGATGAATTATGTAAATTTCTGTCCTCTATTTTCATGCTGTTTCCTTTTGTGGCTTGTAGGCTCCACAGGGCAGGTACAATGTTCCTTCTGTGATGTGTACCCCGAGACCACATAAGTTGGCAGAGATGTGTGGGTCAGGCCACACCACTTCAGTGTCTGTCTCTTTGGGTTTATTTTATTTTCCAGCAAGGAAATTTTTAAGAGCAATGCAATTATGGTATGCATATATAATCTTTTCCTTTCAATGTAATCYATTTTAAGCTATTTTTAGGTGTGATTATTTTTAAACAAACACAATTATTACCAGTAGTTTAAAATGAACCAAGTCATGAACCAAAGGCGGGTAGGGAGAGAATGCCAAATCATTCGGAAGATGTGTCTGGGAAGCAGGGGCATCTCTCCAGCACTCTTATCTTTGATATGGTACTCATCTAAATTCTTGAATAAAACTACATTGAGAAATCTCAACTTCAAAAGGTAGAGCACCATAAATGTTTAGTTCTTTTGTAATGGAGTGTGAGTACCAACACTGGATCTAGTTCCTGAAGGAGGCATGACAAATTCCTACTAGAAACCTTAACTCTGCTGGTAGAAGACAGCTGAACTGGCTACGAGGATGCAGAACTGAGGACAGCCACAGCAACCCTCCCTCCCTCCCTCCCTCCAGAAGGAGCCTCTGTCTAAATGCTGTCAGAGGATGGCTGTTTTTTTTTTTTTCCCTGCTCTTTCTTTCTTTCTTCCTTTTTTTGTTTTAAAGATCTCCATTTTGAGTTTCAGAATACTTGCCTTCAGAGGTGCTTCAAGGCCAGGTCTGACATTTTTGCAATGAAATAAACAGTTATTGAAATCAGACAGCTGAAAATGACAGAATTGCTCACTCAAAAAAATATTTCCTCCCCCCCCAAGAGATATGAAATGTTATTTCACAGTTGACTGTAATAATCACTTCTAAATGTGTACCTTTGGGCTAAACATGTAATTTTAAAGTCATCTCACCTCTTTTCTGCAGAAAAGACCACTTGAAAACTAATCCATAAAGACGAGAGACTATCCCATGTTTGAAGATTTTCAGAGGAGATATGCTATCTGCCTCAGGCCTCAAATTTAATTTTATTAAATAATTCCTGTTACTAGAATATTTTCTCCCCAAATCTTCAAATTCCATTGTAAAGTTTATCCAACCTTGTAAACATGTGGCAATTTCTGGGGTTTGTGAAAAGGAGCAGTCTGACCATGGGGGTGATAAAAAGTGGCCTTAGTGAGAACATCTTCAGGACAAATAGCACTAGAAGCACATGCCTCAGGAAGTGCACTGGCTGCTGAGGGACAGAGGAAAGGGCCTTTCCACCATGTGTCTTCTGGAATATGGGAATGCTCTATCTTTCCCACACCAATGACTGGGGGCGGGGGCGGGGCAGTGGGGCTAGTCCCAGGGTGACACCTACTTACCTAGTAACAGTACCCATTCTGCCTGAGTGCTGATCTCCTATCCGCCACAAAGCTACAACATATGAACTCTCAAACCCTTCCT